ATTAAAGAACACAAGAAAACAAAAATTAAATTTCAATTATATCCTTTTGAAAACTAGGAGTATTATATTTTTTGATCGGTATGATGGTTCGTCAGGAAGGACGTTTACGGTTGTTGTCTATCATTCCTTTATCTGACCTTGAGTTCTGTGTGTGAGTTTCGACTTGTCGTGTGGCCGTAAGGTCACTTTTATTTTGAGAGGTTGTCTTGTCATGAATGCGTAGGTGCAAATGACATTAGTTTGTGGGTTTTCCTTCAGTTTTGGGATGCTTTTGTAGCATATTGTGTGGGATACTCGGAGATGTACTCCGTAGTTATCTTAGTTTCGCCTTTTTGTTTTATTGGGGCTGGATTTCGGGGACGAAATTCTTTTAAGGTGGAAGGTTGTAATGACCCAGTCATTTTCTTTCCTTTCCTTTTTCTCAGATTTTTTACGGATATTTTTTTCTGTTGTCCTTTCTTTTCTGAGTTCGATTTCTCGTTGCTTAGTGTTGTCTCGAGTGCTCGAAAATGGTTTCTAAGACTTTTTCCTTTGGATTGACAACTTCCTTAAAGGACTGCGTCATTTTCATATTTTCACTTTTTGGACACTATTCACTTTTCGTCTTTTTTCCCGTTTGTCACTTTTTTGGCATAACCTCACTTTTTGTGTTCGGAGTTGGTTTTTGACTTCATATACCTTCATTCTAAGTGGTTTCCAGGAAATACGTATCTTTACTTTTGTAGAAAAGTATTCTGGTTGTTCCCGGTGTCCATAAGGGCATGAATGCATAGTTCTTCAGAAATATTTTTATTTCTTGGGGTGTTTTTCATAAATATCTTTTGAAGATATTTATTTCAGGGGTTTTTAAGAAAATATCTTTTGGAAGATATTTTCATTCTGGGCCAATTCTGCAGTTATCACTTTTTATAGGGGCCATTGTGCAATTAACGAAAGTTATTGCAAAGATGTCTCGTTTTGAGCCTGGATCCTTGTATGGGATTCATTTTCACTTTTCATTAAGTCGTGTACTCATAGAATTGTCTTCTGATCTTTTACCCTAGTTTTAGGGTTTCTGACCCTAGTTGCCACCAAAATTATTTGGGGCATATCTTTTTGCTCGAGACTCAGTTTTCGACGCCATTTCATCCGTTGTTAATTTTATCTCATTTTGGTTTTTTTTCGTTCACAGTGTTTTGTTGTTTAAGCGTGTCTGCTCAAATTCCATTTTTCTGGACCCGTTCGGGGCACTTTTAAGGTTTTTCTATAAATAGGGTGACTTAAGATGAAAAGTCAGATATTTCTTCTCTGTCCCCTCTCTTGGCCTTGGCTGCCACCCTTCTTCTTCTTTTTTAGGCCACTTCCCTTTAGTAAAAAAGTCGTAGTGCCTTAGTATTTAATGTTTGCCTTGGCAAGGCGGTTCTTTCCCTCTTATTGGAATATGTTTTCGACTATTTTTGAGTTCGAGTTTGAGTTCAGGTTTGGATTTTGGTGGTACCTCCTTGGTGTTTAATGTTCACCTCGTTATCCCCGACATAACCTAAGAGTTTCGTAGGATTCGGAGCGGTTTCATTTCGGTGGGGATTTGAGATTTCATCTCAAATGGAGGTAGGGGATGTAATAGGCTTATATTTTTGTTGTCTTGCATGCTATTGATGCTTATACAATTTGTATGCATGCTTTTGTTCATAATCTAGAATTTAATTTAATTATTTTCTTTATGTAAGATTTAATTCACATGGTTGTATATGTGATGAAATTAAATTGTGGCATGCTAGTAAATTATGTTTTGGTATGTTTGTTAACATATATTAAATCGGGATTATTTATATAAGAGTTGCAAAAATTGTCTTGTTATAGTATGCAATTTATCTTCTCTTATCTCTCTTATAATTGTGCTATTAATTGCTTACTTTTATATCTTTATAATTGCATAACTGTGATAAGTTGTTTACTAGAAATTGCTATTCTATAAAACAAAAAATTAGCCATTGTCTAACTAAGAATCTATTCACCCCCTCTAGAGTCATTTATTGAGTGACTCCCCTCATTCTTATTACTTTTTCAATATGAAAAAGAAACACTAATCCTCTCCCAAAATGTGGTAGATTTCAATATCACATTGACAATTTAAATCTAATAAAAATACATATGAGATTGACCTGAAGGGAGAGGAGGAATCGGGTATCAAAATTTGTCAAGTGGTAGTAGTTCTTAACAAATTATTTAAACCCTTCGAGAGGTTAAAGTGTAGATATGAAGCTTTGATGTTATCATAAAATCAGTAATTGTTGGAACAAATAGTGGGGATATATGAGAAATGTTTTCAGAACACATGATGCAATATTATGTTTGAGAATTTATTTGGCTTGGGAGATATTGTTGGACTAGTTTCTTTTTTCATTTTTTTTTTTTTTTTTTTTTTTTAAAGCGTGTAGGCCATGATTCATATTGCCTATGTATACGAAATTTTATTTCATTAGATAAGAGAGAATTTTTTTTTTTTTTTTTTACCCTAACAAGAAAATAAGCCAAACGCCATACGACATCTACAGACAAGAACATCGACCAAAAGACATAGAACTAGAGATACATTTAACATCAACAATCACTTAACCAACCAAACCTAACTAACACCTCTTATAATCAGTATCACATTCTTGACAAATCAAGAAATACAGTGGGAGATCCAGCATTACAAACAAAGAAAGATACACCTCCATACACTGCATCTGGGGAGGAAAATGACATGACAATCAATTATGATAGAATAGAATAGAATTATAGTGTGTTAATCTTTAAGCATGTCCTAAAAATATATATATATACAACTAAGAATCATCATCTTATCATTTGAGAAAAATAGCAAAGAGAAAAGAAATAAAATAAATGTTTTATTATGTTAATATAGATCAATGCAAAGACATCGGGGAAAGGAAATGAAATGACAATATCAATTATCATAGAAAGAAGGAACGGACAGCACTGTATGCCCTTTAAAGTCAATTTTATGCCCTTTAAAGTCAATTTTAAATATCGACTGATATTTGTTTTAATAAATTTGATTTTTTTTTCTTTTTCCAAATGCTCAATAGCCAACCAAAGCAGCAGTACAGAGTCATAAAATCAAGTTAGAAAAGACATACAAATCTTGAAGTATAGATAAAAAATGAAGAACAGGCTCTAGATTTAGGGAGAAAACAGAGCCCAAAACTCTGAACCACCATAAGAGAACACAGTAAACATGAGAGACCCAAAGGTCTAGCCATCATCACGGTAACCACTTCAAAGTTACAGCCACAAGGCGCTTCGAGACACAAAATCCCACACAAGATCAAATCAAAGATAAAAGGATCCAATCGAGGCAGGAAAAACAAACCGACCTAGATCAGAGATCTAGTCGGAGAAAAATAATAGATCCGCCCATGCAAGTCAAAAACAAACCAAACAGGAGCGGATCTTGCCGAACAAAACCAAAAACGATGTACAAAAAAAAATGTATACATTCAAACTGGAACATATTGTAAACATGCATCTAATTTAAAGAAAAACTCAAAATGGTACGTTCACACTGGAACATGCTAATTAAAGCGTCAATTTGGGAAACGAAAATGCCTTTTTCGGTGGCCCGTAGGATAAATAAAATTTTAGAATAACTTTAATTTTTATTTTTGATAAATTTAAATTAAATTATTTTTGTAAAAATAACTTTTATTTATACACCTAAATATCGCATGGGACTTGAATTATCGATCTTCTCCTCTAAAAGCGAGAAAATCCCATCCCATTAGACTGGTATTGTTATTCAATCACCCATAGCATGATTTTCTCCCAACTATATTCTCATAATGTATTTAAAATTTTCAACACTTAAAGATTATGTACTATAAATTTCAGCACTTAAGATTATGTATTTAAAATTTTTAATACATAATTTTCAATTTTATCACACAAGAAGATAACAAAAAGCCATGCCGTAGAAATAATGAAAGGAAAATGCTACACTCCACTAATTTTAATTTGTGTACGAGTGTAAAGTAAAAAGATTGTAAAAGATAGAAAATTAAATATACAGAAAAATAATTTTGCATTATTATTTATTATATATATAAATAATATTATATCATAGAATTATTTATAATGTTTATATTGTTTTAATTGGAAACTTTTAATTGGTAACTTATTTTATTATTTATTTATTTTTAATTATAATTTGAAAATTTGAAATTATTGACATCCCTTGTAAATAATTTGTAATGATTAATTTATGTTTGTATTTTAATTGGTAATTTATGTTTATATTGTTTTAATTGGTAACTATTTTAATTGATAACTTATTGTATTATTTATTTATTCTTAATGATGATTTGAAATTTTTGACACCCTTGTACTTTTAATAATGGTATAGATTAGGTGGCAGCTTATTTATCAACTTATTTGGTTGTTTTGTGTGTTTTAAAAGTAATTTTTTGACATAGGGAAGATCTTAATATAGGAAAGAGAGAAAAAATAGCAAAACCTATAATTATGTAATCCAAATCTTAATATAATTTAATAACTTGATATATTTTCGTTTGAGAGGTTCTTTCTATTAAATCTTTAAATAATTAAAATTAGAAGTAAAATTTTTTTTACCATAAATGAGTGATCTCTTTTTGATGAATAACAACTTAATTTATATAATTAAGTTAAAAACCTTTTATAATTGTATTTTTCTCCAATTGTTTACCTCAATTTACAAAAGAAAAGTGATAGATCTTCTTTAAAAAATAGAAAATTGTAACGCATAAAAAATTATAGTGTAATATGTATTAAATTAAAGGATATTAATGTCTTTTTAACTAAAAGTTCAAATCATTAACAAATTGAAAACCCCTAATATGTTCAGTGACGTTGGGCTACGGGAGCTCCAATCAGTTAAGTAAACCTTGGAACATTATTACGATAATACCCTTCAGTTGCAGGTTTACGGTATCTTGTCCTTTTTACCATGGTATTTTCTCCTAACTTTGTCTCTCTCTATTCTTCACCGATTCGCGGCGTTATCGCGGTTCTCTCTCTAGTCTTCTTTTTTCCATCTGACCTTCCAAGAAGGAATACTGCGTGACAAGAACGAGTAAACATATACACACGCAACATATAAAATAATCTTATATATATATATATATATATATCTTCTTTCTCTGAGCTCTCTGCTCTGGTAGTCCGCATTAGTTCTTGTATCCATTAATCCCTCCTCGCCAATGACCTTAGCTCTTCTTCTCATAGATCTGACACTGACCCTTTTCTAGCAACAATAACACAGGTATGTTATTGTGCTCATTATATTAAATTTTGCTTTAATACATGTATTGGGTTTGATTTGATTCATACCCACGTTTTAATCTTTTTAATTTTTAGATTACATTTATATGTAAATGTTGCTAAATCTCAGATCTAATGATCTACAAGTAAGCTTATTTGTTTTATTTTATTTTTAAGCTAGAAAAGACCAACTATTAGTTGTTGTTTTATTTTATTTTTAAGGTAGAAAAGTAGTTTTTTCTACCTAGAATACCAAATAATTTGTTAAAAGTTACATCTGGGTTGTTTTTGTGTTTTGTACTGGTGGTTTAATTTAGATCTGGATCCTTTTCGTGGGTCCAGATATGATTGGTCTTGTTATTATTAATTTTAGGCTACAAAAGGCTTCGATTTGTAGTAATTGAACATCATACTATGCTTTTGCTTTTATTTCTTTTGAATTTCAGTATCTTCCCGTTTTGAAATTCAAATTTCACTTACTTTTTTTATAATTTTAAATACTTAAGTTTTAAGTTAAAGTTTACATACTTAACATTCAATGCTTGTTTGGTGGGACAATCTTTTTGGTGATTTTTTTTTTTTCTCCTCCTGAGGAAGTGATGAGTTCCAGTGGTAAAGGGATATTTTGCTCAAAAGAAAATTAAGAGACACCATAGATGCTGTTCAAGCTCTGACATAAAATACAAAATATCGGTAAACACAAAATAGCCATAAAGATTTCTCTTTTTCCATGAAAAGATTTTTATTTTATTTTTCTTTGCATAAATTGTTTTTGTTCTATTGAAAAATGATGGCAATTTTGTTTTGAACTCGGAAATAATAACGATTGTATTATTTGAAAACTGGCTTTTTTGATCCAGCTAGTAAATTTCTGTTTCTTATTTTCTGAAGGTAGATTGATATGATAAAATCCTCTTGTATGATATGGTTGAATTGTTTGGATTCAATCCTTTAATGCAATCTTCTGGGATCAGTAAAAATGGAATTTTGATGGAGTAAAGAGATGTGTAATGTATTTATTTTTTCTGTAGGTACAAACTTTTCTCTAGGAATAATTGGCGTTAGAAAGCATGGTATTAGGAAAGTACTCTAGAGTCGATGGTAGAAAATCATCAAGTTACTGTTCGACAGTGACTCTGGTTGTGTTTGTGGCCTTTTGCTTAGTTGGGGTATGGATGCTGACATCGTCCTCTATAGTTCCTGTTCAAAATGTTGATGTGCCTTCTCAGGAGAACAAAAATGAGGTGAAGGAACAAGTGAATGAAAGTAATGATAGCACTTCGAGCAAACAGATCAATTCCAAGCAGTTTGAGGACAATCCGGGTGATTTACCAGAAGATGCAACGAAAGGGGACATCAACGTTAGTTTAGCCGAGGAGGAAAACAAGTCTAATTCTCAAGAGACCTCAAACCTTCCTGACAAAACAACTCAGGATGCCCCGGAGGAAAACCAAGAAGAGGAGCCTATAAAGGAGAGTGTAAAAGAAGAGACCAAGTCAGAAGATACGATCAAACCCGAGACGGAGAATGGAGAAGAAAAAGCAGATGGGGAGTCAAAGGAAGAGACCAAAGAGACAAACACTGATGGTGGTGAAAATAAATCTGATTCTGACGAGGGTGAGAAGAAATCAGAGGAGAATTCAGGTGAAAAGGTGGAGCAAAATCAAGATAAGGAGTCGGGGCAAAGCTTTGATGAGAAGGAGGAGGATGGTCTGGTCAAAGATCAGGTTGTCAAAGAGGTGTTTCCTTCTGGAGCTCAGTCGGAGCTCCTAAATGAAACTACCACCCAGAATGGACCATGGTCAACTCAGGTAGCTGAGTCAAAGAATGAAAAGGAAGCCCAAAAATCTTCTCAATCTGACCTACAAACTGGGTACAGTTGGAAACTTTGCAATGTCACTGCCGGGCCAGATTACATCCCATGCCTCGACAATATGCAAGCAATTAGGAGTCTCCAATCTACTAAGCATTATGAACACAGGGAGAGGCACTGTCCCGAAGAACCCCCTACCTGCCTTGTTCCCCTTCCTGAAGGTTACCAATGCCCAATTGGGTGGCCTACAAGCAGGGAAAAGGTATGGTAATATGACTTAAATAAAAAGTTTGCTTCCAAGTTGCTTCTTTTCGGCTTCGAAGACTTCTAATTTATTTATTTATTTATTTTTATTTTTTTGTCAATGCAGATATGGTACCATAATGTTCCCCACACCAAGCTTGCAGAAATTAAGGGGCACCAGAATTGGGTGAAGGTTAGCGGTGATTACCTTACCTTCCCTGGTGGTGGGACCCAGTTTAAGTATGGTGCTCTTCATTACATCGATTTCATTCAGCAGGTGAATACTTGTTACCACCACTCTCATTTCAATGTCCTTTCTCTTCTTTCCCCTAAAAGAACTATCTACATACGTGCATCTTTTGCATTTTTTGGTGTGTGCGTGTCACAGTGGTCCTAAATCATGTGTAGCTTCTTGTTTTTTTTTTCCCTACATTCTTTCAATTCTCCTTTTTCTTGTCTTTTCACTGTGTCGAGATACAATAAGACTTAGAAATGACTCCTTATGTTTGTATTCATAGAAATGTAAAAAACATATTCGGACAAACATATCTGCAGATTATATATAAGTATACTTATGCGTAGAAATTTAAAAATGAATTTTTTCTCCCAAAAGCTTCACAATAAAATTTCTTTGTTTTATTATCAAAGTTTTGTCTCATTTTAAAAGAACTGTCAAAATGTTCAGTTTTCACCATTCCAACTTGTTAATACCTTTTATTTGATTAGGTGAAAATATAACTCGGGACCAAAATCAAATAGAAACTTTGCATTAGTAGGGAAAAAATATTATTTGGACACTATCTCATGCAAATTGAACCTAAGCACTCTTTTGTTGCGAACAATTGGGAGTTATTGCCAATAAAGGTACCATGACAGATTGAATTAGACAAAAAATCTTCAGGCCCCCTTTGGCTAGGAAGATACCAGATGCTGGAAGGTGAAATGAAAGAAAAGGAAATAAGTTTTCCTGTATGTATTTGGACATACTGAAAACCTTTGGACAGAAGTGTAGAAAAAAATTATCTTATTGTTTGAGAAACATGAAAGTTACAAGAAATCTATTTTACTTACCAAAACCGTTCTTATTCATAATAAACAAAATAGAAGTGTCTGCATGGGTTTGTTATTTAAATCAAAACTATCTTTTACCCAACATTTTATACTACTTTTAGAAAATAAATAAAAAATAGTATATTTATATAAACTTGGTATTATCTAATCCAGTTTTAAAGAATAAATGTTTTTTCATATATTCAGGCGCATGCACATGGTTGATTTTAGGGTCAGTTACCCCGAGCTCCCTGAGGCTTGTCTTTACCATCGGGTTAAACTCAAAAAACCACTCTGACACCCCTGTCAGGGCTAAGACCCGTGAGTTTGGCTAACGGTAGTTGTAAAATTACCAAACAGCCACATATGTAATAAACAAATTTTACACTTCATGCTCACCTAAGCAACCAAAAATTCTAAAAGACAAAATTGCCTGTATCATCTCTCTGGTACTCAACCATCACCGTCACCCTCACCCCCTCTCTTTCTCAGCGGAATGATATTTCAATTTTTATGCTTGTTCCTATCATTTCCTATTTGTCATGATTCCAGCTTGAATGGTAATGCTTGGTTGTGGCTTGCTAGCTCAAGGATTATTGATTTTTTTGAATTCCTTCTTAGCGTCATACGATGTTTTGCTTAACATGGATATATTACTGTTACCGCAGTCTGTGCCCGATGTTGCTTGGGGAAAACGTTCTCGTGTGATATTGGATGTTGGATGCGGGGTTGCTAGCTTTGGAGGATATCTATTCGAAAGAGATGTACTCGCCATGTCATTTGCCCCAAAAGATGAACACGAAGCCCAGGTTCAGTTTGCACTTGAAAGGGGAATCCCTGCTATATCTGCTGTGATGGGCACAAAGAGACTTCCGTTCCCAGGGAGAGTGTTTGATGTTGTTCACTGTGCACGGTGTAGGGTGCCCTGGCATATTGAAGGTGCTTCATCTATTTACTTATGATGAATTTTGTGATGAGAATGATGTTTGGACGAACTCAAGTTTTTTGTTTAGTGTTTCATTCTTTTGACTTTCCATATCTTTAGCTGTTCCTCTTTTTCACATGTAGTAAACTTATGGTGTAGGCTTCTGTAATCAACTCTTGTATTTGATTGTGAACATTGCAATTTTGTTTTGCTAATTTAATGCCTGGTGCATTGCAGGGGGTAAACTTCTTTTGGAACTGAATCGTTTATTGCGGCCTGGTGGTTTCTTCGTGTGGTCTGCGACTCCTGTTTACCAGAAGCTTCCCGAAGATGTTGAAATTTGGGAAGGTAGATGATTCTATTGCCTAATGCTTTAGTCTTTTCCAAATTGAGTTGGTTGATTGATTATGATAAATGCTGCATCTTTCTTGGGATTTTTACAGCCATGAAGCAACTAACAAAGTCCATGTGCTGGGAAGTTGTATCAATAACTAAGGACAGACTGAATAAGGTTGGCGTGGCTGTATATCAGAAGCCTGCTTCAAATGAGTGTTATGAGAAAAGATCACGGAATGAGCCTCCTCTCTGCCTAGAATCTGATGATCCAGATGCAGCCTGGTACTTTCTTCTTTAATTGAGAAAAGAAATAATTTTCAAGTATCTTAATTTGATTGGCTTTTTTGTTCATCTGCTGCTTAAGGTGAAGGATTTGGATGGCACTAATTGGAAAATGCTTATTATGGTTTAATGATTAAGCTTGCCTTTTTCTACAGTGTAGTAGACCTCCTTTTTTTTTTCCCCTTGCTTTTCTTTGCATCCCTTCTTAGTGGAAATGTACTTGGTTCAAAAAGCACTTCCTCAGCATATACCTATTTCTCTGCCTAACAAATGTTTAATATGTGTGCCATCTATAGGAATGTGCCATTGCAAGCATGCATGCACAAAGTGCCTGTTAATGCATCAGAACGTGGGTCTCAATGGCCTGAACAATGGTCAGCAAGGCTGGAGAAACCTCCTTACTGGTTGTTGAATTCCCAGGTTGGAGTTTATGGTAAAGCAGCCCCTGAGGATTTCACTGCAGACTATAAACACTGGAAGCGTGTGGTGACCAAGTCGTATCTTACTGGGATGGGTATAAACTGGTCTACAGTACGGAATGTCATGGACATGAGATCTATCTATGGAGGGTAAGCAAAATAATTTTTGATTTCAAGTGTTTCTTGGGTTCAACTAGAGAGTTCTTGGCAGTTGTTTGGTAACCTTGCTTTATCCTTCTCTTTTCTCTTTCTTATTTTCTTTCTTTTTTTGGTCATCCTAAAAATTTATAGATATAAAGACAATAATATACAAGGCAATAAGCAAAGTTGTACCTTTGCATAAAATGCTCCAAAGATGATTTATCTGAAAACATGATCAAATAAATACAGTTACTCTCCTCCAAGGCGTCCCCCCATAGCTAGCTTGTATACTTAAGGAACGTTTCTATCTATATGGTGTGATGCAACCTATAGCCTGGGTTTTTAATTTGCAAAAAGAAACCCCTATACTATACATGTTTTGCAAATTGCCCCATGGATTGAAATTTTCTCCAACAACTATTGATACTTCCCTCTGGATGGGGATATTTTGCAATATTTTTTTTGATAATTGAAGGTGGTGATCTGCAATATCTTTATTTCAAGGGGACAACTTTCCAAAGCGTTATTTTTTTTCGCAATTTATCCATATTTTTCCAATTGTTTTCTATTTTTTTGCCTTGTGGGGGTTGAGGTGGGTTATTAATTTAATTTAATTTAATTTTATTATTATTATTTTTTTTTTTGGTGGCAAATATCATAATATTTATTGTACTTTGTATTTTTTCTATGGTTATTAATACCAATATAAGATATGTTAATTCTGGTTGTGCTTGCAGATTTGCTGCTGCTCTAAGAGACTTGAATGTGTGGGTCATGAATGTGGTCCCAATAGACGCTCCAGATACATTACCAATTATTTATGAACGGGGTCTATTTGGAATTTATCATGATTGGTGTGAATCATTTAATACCTACCCAAGATCTTATGATCTAGTCCACGCTGATCATCTCTTCTCCAAAATGAAGACCAAGTATGTTTTTCGTATTCCATATTGCATTCTCACCGAATATAGTCTACCTCATCTCTGTAGAGACCCATTTATAATTTTGGCTGTGCTTTTGTTGGTAATCAGGTGCAATTTGGCGGCTGTGGTTGCGGAGGTTGATCGTGTTCTAAGACCAGAGGGAAAGCTCATTGTCCGCGACAAAGTTGAGACTATTAATGAGCTGGAGGGCATGCTGAAGGCCATGCAGTGGGACGTCCGCTTCACTTTCTCTCAGGACAAGGAAGGATTGCTGTGCGTCCAAAAAACCATGTGGCGCCCCAAAGAGGTGGAGACAATTAAATATGCAATTGCTTAATCATGTTGTCCGGCGATGGTTCTCGTGTTCTTGAGAATAGGTATTTATGTTGTTTTGGTCGCTTATTTTTAAATCATGGCAAATGTACTTTTCTTTAGCACATGAATATCTGTTAGCCTGGTTGGTATCTGATTTTTTTTCTTCTTGTTTTCGAAGTTTTGATTTCTGATGGTGACCAGTTTCTCAATTGTAATGTCATATTATTAGTTATATCAATGAAACATGTCATTCTTTGAAGTGTAAAGCCCATTTGCTGACATACTTCAGTTTACGGAACAAATTCTTTGTTTGAGATCCCCGAAATCATATGTGGTTTCTATTGTCCTTTCGAAATTTGTTAAATTTATTGTATCCTCATTGTCACCCCGACACGGATCATAAGATGATATTCATGTTTGTTGCAATGCATGACTTCATGATAAATCTTACAATGTCTGATTACCAGAACGGTATTTTGTGGAATGATTGTAGCTTATTTGAGACGAGTAGAAATTGAATCACATTGTCTCTTTCATAATTTCATGTCCTGAATCTGAGTAGAGAAACGAAATGTTTTCTAGTGTTTTGGCCATTTGTTTGGTCTTCGACGACGAGAGTATAAATTTATCTTTGAAAATAGATGATTTACCGTCAGATTATACCCTGATTGTGTCTGGTTTCATATTTCTATTGTTTTCTTGAAAATTCGATCACGTAATTGCAAATTTTTGATAAGATTAAACCACCTTTCCATCCAGAGCCGTTATCCAGGATTTTTTGTCTGGACTCTGGAGGGCTCAGTAACTTAAAATCAAACTAATGGTACGAAAATAAAGTATATATATAATATATATAAATTGTAATTAATTTTTTAAAACTGAATTTTTAGTATAATTTTTGTTATATATTCTTGTATAAATTGGTAAAAGCTAATTTCTCCACTTTCATGGGACTTCGGTTAGTAAATTTTCTAAGAAAGAGAAATATGAAATGTGCATATTTGATTTTAGTGTGTGCCTATGTTTTTAGAAGTTGAGTAAGTTGAGGTCCCCTGTCTGCGTTAAGGAAAATTCAACTAAAATATTAGGGTTAGCATGATCGCCACTAGGTCTATCAACCCTAGTCCTCCTCCAAGTAGGGCTGTAAATGAACCAAGTCGAGTCGAGCTTTACTTTACTTGGTCTCAGCTCGCCAGTTTTAGGAGGGTGCTCGGACTCAGCTCACCAGTTTCAAGAGGGTGCTTGGGCTAGGCTCGGGCTCAGCGCCAATAATTTGGTGAGCCCAGCTCGAGCTCGCTTTCAATTCATAAAAATAAAAATAAAAAAAATAATAAAAATAAAAAAGGAGTAAATGACAAGCTTTACTGTTTTGACAATGGAAGAGCATCACTGCATCTGTTTTACTAACGTCCATTCTCCGATCATCTTTCTCTGATCTCCCCAACACTAAAATTGAATTGAGACATGGTGACCCGAGCGAGAGATTTCTATTGGAAAGTTGAGAGGGATTACAGGAGTGACGTTACAAGATTTGTTGTGGCCGGAAATAATTAGGGATGTTTCATCACTGATATTGCAAGAGGTTTGTTGGAGACTGTCGTGGGAAAGCAAAGAGGAAGAAGTGTTGTGTTGAAGATCAGTGTTATGTTCGGTAAAAAAGAAAAAAATTGGAAGGAAATGAGAGAAGAAGGGATGAATGAGACATCCTAGGAAAGATATCGTGTATTTTTTTCTTTTTGTTTGATTAAATAGAAAAGAAAAGAATAAGCTCATAATAAACTATCTTTCTTAAGAGAGAAAGAAATGGGAAGTTTTAATTGTTTTTATTATTATATTCAATAATATTTATATTATTGTAATTTATAAAGGATAGTATTGTAATTTAAAACTTACAAAGGAAGTTTGTTTCTTCCTTTTTATTTTCTTTTCACACCTCATTCTTCCTTCCAACCAAACACAGCATAGAGGCGTAATGAATTTGTTAGGGTTTCACAACTTGTGTAATGAATTTGGTAAAGACAATCCACCGGTGATATAAAGATATGCACGCAATGATAGGTAACAGGATAAGTAGAGTTGGGCTTAAGGTTAAATGAAGTTGGGCTTATGAAGATATATTAGACTGGGTTTATATTAAATGGGTTAGACAATATTGTATGTGTAGAAATTAAAATTAATTTTTTTTTTTAACCTTTCAATAAACGAGCCTGTTCATGAGCCTAACAAGCCAAGTTTAGCATAGCTCAAGCTTGACTCGTTTACTAAACGAGCCTAAAAAATGTGTTTAAGCTCGGCTCGATTACTTTACGAAGGAGTTCGAACTGAGCTTTTAACGAACCGAGCCTGAGCTGAACAACTCGATTCATTTGTTGCCCTACCTCCAAGATCTATAGAAAGGACCTTATTTTTCCTAAAACCCTAACAAAGCACACGTATGCATTCATAGAGCATATGCAAGCCTTGTCAAAATTAGAGGATTCTTGGTCAGTTTGGTAACCAGTTGTAAACCTTTCTTTACACACTAGTTCCTACTTGGACCAAGTCTCGTGATTTTTTCCCCTAAAATATTGGTGTTTGTGTATAAATGTCTTTATATTGGTCAATCTTTAAATTGCCGCATCATGCCTACTCAAGTGAAAGCGAGTTTAAAATTTGAATTTATGTTAAAAAATTGTTATTTACCTTTTAAGACTTATTTGTGGTTACGGTATCGGTTGCGGTGTAACGAATTTGGGCAAGTATTAATGTTACGTAATGGTACTGGTTATCACAATCGTGATTTTTTTTAAAACTCACACATAGTGATTAAAATTAATCGATACGCAATTTTTTATGACATAATTCGATAGAGCTGGATTTTTAATGAATTTTTTACCATCATTTAAAATAAGTAATAACATATTCATAAATTTTGAGTTGTTGGTTTTTTATTAAAAAGTCTTAGTAAAATAAATTCAATTATGAAAAAAAAAAAAATCATATAAATATACAATATATGCGAATTAAAAGATCAAAAATACAATTAAAAAATTAAATAAAATATACTATTTTGAATAGGTTACAGAAGGTTTGAAAGAGAAAAACAATCCCCATACAAATATCCTTTGTACAAGTCTCACATCAATACTTTCCGAAAGAAACAAAAAAAAAAGTCTCACATCCATATAAAAGAAGCCCCGTGAACACTAGTGCAAGTCAGTTTGTCCCACATCGGAAATTTTAACAAAGGTGTGAACAACTTCACTTATAAAGGCAATGCCCAATGCCTTGGAACAAAAGTACAAGCAAGTTGTCGGGCTACTATTTTAGAGGTCCAGTTTTAATTTTCAAGTTTGTAAGCCCATTACATTGGTCGGTTCATAACTGGCCGTTAGTAAAAAAATATTTTCGAATGCCACCCATTTCCAACTCTAAAGTCTTGCACAATTATATGAAAATAAACCCGACAAATTTTATATAAAACAAAGCGTTAGGAAAGAAAATTTGAGAGGTAAATTAGTGATAGAAATGTCATTTTTGTATATCAAATCTATATTTTGAGCAAAGTTATTTATATTTTATTTAGCTTATTTGTCTTATTAAAAATAAATAATAAAAAATAATTATCAAATCCAACCGAGTCTTAAAATTTAGTCAATTTTTAGATTAACAGACATATATATATATATATATACACACACACACAGACATATATATACATACATGTATACCAACACTACAAAATCTACTAGACTCAGAAGTTCAAAACCCATATATTTTAATTTGGTAGAAGCAATAGCAATAGTTATAGTTTGTGCTATATTTGACACAAGATTTGGCAAAGCTATATTTTGGCAGCCCATTAACAGTCTATTGGAGAACCCATGTTAAACCCACCTGCTATATTTTGAAATTGGTAACCCATTTAACAGCCCATTGTAGTTGCTCAAGTTTCAACCTATGGTAACAAGTGTTGAATAGAGTAAAGGCTAAAGATTTTAATCAAGTAGAAGATTTGGTAGAATCATTACAAACTTTTGGATTAAACTTTAGTAAACAGGATTTAGTAAGTCATGAATCTGGCGGTGAAACTGAAGAAGAAATTGCAATTCTAAGGTTACTGATTTTGTGGGTGGTCAAAGGTGAAGGATGCAGAGGTGATCAAGAACACTACTACTATTAGTGTTCAGCAGTCTCTGGTGGTGGTGGAAGTGAAAGGTCTCTGGAATGCTGTAATTCCCCTGGGGGTGGTAATTGGGTGGGTTCGAAATGGGTTGGATATGAATGGGTCAGTAATTCATTCTCAATCCATCAATAGTGGATAGGGTAAGAGTTTAAATGGGCGGGTCAAAACTAGTTAACCCATTCCAACATTTTTTTATTTTTTATTTTTATTTTTTTTATACTTTTGCAAATTTTTTACTGTCCTACCATCCATGGCTAAAAAAAATTAATAATTTGTTCTTGCATTAATTTTTTATTTCAAGCATTACAAATTCTTTTTCCATTTTTCCTTTGGGAAAAGTCACTATACCACTTAATCAACAATATTAATTAATTTTTTTATTTCAAGAGTTACAATTTTTTATTTATTTTGGAAAAATTCACTATACAACTTACTCAACAATATTAATTATATATATTTTTAAAATAAAAAGAGAGTTTTGAATAAGAATTTTAATTAATTATTGGTCATTTATTTTATACAATAAAACAAAATTTGAAGGAAGAGTGAAGATGGGTAGCTTCAAAATGATCCAAGATTTGCTTTAATTCAGTTAAAACTTTCTGCCTGAGAAGAATTAAAGGCCTTTGGGCCCAGAAGTCAAGGATTTTTTTGGTTGAATAGTAATGGCAGATGCAATTTCCCCAAAAAAACAAAACGTAATGACAGATGCTCCAAATATGTTCTATGAGAAGAAGATGCATAAGTGGAGAGCTGTGTAATTAGAACTGTCAATGGGGGACTGGATTCTCCGAATCCGATCTATCTATCCGGATATGAATTGAATAAAAAAAATTGATAATCCAATAATGATTTGTATTCGAGAAATTGTTACCTTAACTGATCATGTATAGATTAAAGATAATTCGATCATATAGTGATCTAATTCGATTTATATTTACACATATTTGGTTATTGGTAAGAAACTCGCACACACCACATCACTAACACACACACTTTGCTCTTTTAGAGACTCAAACTCTCACCTTTTACTTTGACCGATAAACTATTTGTCTACAAGTATGTTATATATTTAAGTTATTTATCATTAAATT